GTACGAATTATTCTATGAGACGGTTTAACCAAAGGACACTAATCCATGAAACTTTTTGCTATGAAATTTTATATGACCGTTTTGTTTTCAGATTTCAATTTGAAATTATATATTTTTTGTTGAAAATGTATGGTTGTTAGCTTTTTTATGAATGTATAATTATTAATTCCAATATATAGGAATATTGAATGTTTAAATAGATTAGACAAGGACATAATGAACTTATATTATAGTCTTATTTAAAGACATGTCTTATTTATGTGTGTTGGATATATCAAACAGGTTCACAAAAAATAAAATAAAAAAAATCACAAATTATCAATGTATGAGACAGATATTATGATATTATGGTTTTGGTTTTTCCAGTAAACAACACAATTATTTTTTTGGTAGCCAGTCACAGTATCCAGAGAGTTGCCACGACTAATCCAGACCCGAGACATTGTTTAAGCGACATCAAATTACTTACCAAAGTCAACCGCGGTTGGTAACAATTATTTAACTGTAAATTGTTGGAACATTTTATTTCGGAGTCAAAAGTTGACTTTGTTCACATCCCAAAAAAAACCAGTGAACTGTGAACGGCAGAGCTGAACATAGCACGAAAACGAAAGGCCATGGCGAGAGGCAAATCGCCGCCGTCTCTTCTCTCCGTACTCTCTTTCCTCCTCCTATCGGGCCTTCTCCTCGAAATCAACGGCCACGATTTCTCGATCGAGGAAGCCACAGTCGACGAAATACGCCGCGCGTTCGCCGAGAAAAAGCTAACTTCCCGCCGCCTCGTCGAGTACTACCTGGACCGCATCAAAACCCTAAATCCTGCGCTCCGAGGCGTGATTGAGGTTAACCCAGACGCGCTGGACCAGGCGGAGGCGGCCGATCGTGAGAGGGAGGCGGGCAATGGCGGCCTCCCGCCGCTGCACGGCGTGCCGGTGCTTTTGAAGGACAGCATAGCTACGCGCGACGAGATGAACACCACGGCAGGGTCGTACGCGCTGCTCTGGTCGGTGCCGCCGCGCGACGCGGGGGTGGTGGAGCGGCTGAGGAGAGCTGGGGCGGTGATTCTGGGGAAGGCGAGCATGAGCGAGTGGTACCACTTCCGGTCGCCGGGGATTCCTGATGGGTGGTGCGCCAGAGCTGGTCAGGGCGTGGTTAGTTCTATTTCTTTCTCGTTTCAAATTATTTTCTTATCTTCATTTTTATGGGTGAAATTATTCATTGGAAAAAAAAAAATGAGCTCTAATTTTGTTTAATATGATGTAGCTGTAGCCTGTAGACTTGGTTTGATTAGGAATTAGGAGGGAAATTGGAGCTGAACTTAGCTTTTGATACCCGAGCTCAAGCTCATATCAATACTAACGAGCCAGCTATAGAAATTTACATAAAAATCCCAATTTTTGAGCCTTAACGAGCCAAGATCACGAGCGGCTCGATTTGTTTAACAACTCTATAAGAGGAAATTAATCTGTGTAACTAGACTCTTAAAGCTGTACTAATTCCTAATCAAATGTGCTTACAATTTTACTGGACTTACTAAAAAATAGTTTAAACCTGCTAATAGGCTCACAATTGTGCTGTACCATTTTGCCTATTGGTACAAACATAAATGGCTAAAAGAAAAAAAAAAAAGAAAAATAAAAAGCACTATATAAGTTTGAAATTTCCCAGCTGATGCCGAATTTTGAGAGAACCAAAGAGAATCAATGTGATTTTGGAACAAGAAACCTCGTATGGTTGTGGGAAGACGAATTATGAGCAATGAACCTAATAATCCCTGATTACTTTTGTCTTTCTTGTGACGGTATTCAGAATCCTTACGTAAAGGATGGAAATCCATGCGGTTCAAGCAGTGGATCAGCAATATCGGTGGCTGCCAACATGGCAATGGTATCTTTAGGGACCGAAACTGATGGATCCCTCATTTGCCCGGCCGATCATAACTCAGTTGTGGCTATCAAGCCTACTGTTGGGCTCACCAGTCGAGCCGGTGTTATCCCACTTTCTCCTCGTCAGGACACTGTTGGGTAATTAATTGGTCTCCTTTGGCATTATCTACTTTGCGTTGTGGACCTATTGTATTCTGATAGTCTTCATGCTAGATTCTAGGATGGATTATTATATTTCTAGTTCCTTTTTTTTTCCAGTAAATTTCCCTTTGATACAATTTGCATGTATCTCTATTTTTAGAAAGTATCTTTTTTTCCTAGTTACATTCAAGTTCTACTTGTTCAAGGGTACTTTTTAGTTTTTAGTTTTTACTATTAACCTTGACAAGTTGTATTGGATGAAATATGAACTCGCTGATGTACATTAGCGTTTCTTTATGATATCGAATTCAGGCCCATCTGCAGAACAGTTTCTGATGCTGTTTATGTGCTGGATTCTATCGTTGGCTTTGATTCGAGAGACTCAGAAGCAACAAAGACAGCAGCGAAGTTTATTCCTGTGGATGGATACACACAGTTCCTCAATAAAGATGGGCTCAAGGGTAAGAGATTGGGTGTAGTAAGAAACCCATTTATGGCCCTTTCAAATGTATCGTCAAGGAGCCCAATATTCGAAACCCATCTTCAAACACTGAGGTAATTTTTTACACAACAGTCAAATCAAAACTATAATCAAATGCATGCCTTGAAACATCGAGAAAATTTAGAGTGTGATTGCATATGGATTTGATTGGTTTTTTTTAACCATATTTAAATGTAAAAACGGTCGTATAATTAATTGTTAGTGGGAATTTAAGTTTAGTTTTTAATTAAAATAAAATAATTAAAGTTGAGTTGATAAACGTAGCAGAGAGATGATGTGAATTGATGGTTAGTTACAATTATATGAGTGGGTGAATAGTGAATTAGAGCTCATGTGATGTAGGATTGATTGGTTGATATTATTTAATTATACTGAAAATATTGAGGATAGTAGGGTTGAATTAAATTTTAATTTTCATTGTTTTTTTTTTTTTT